CATTTTTAAAAATATGAATAAAATAAAGTGATGTTGACATAAAAACCTTCTTTCAGGATTTTTCAGGTCTCATCAATAAAGGGCCTTGCTGCTAAACCTGAGAACCTGATATATGTAGCTCAGAGATCCACAATAAAGGAGGGAAAAAACTGACTCCCGAAAGTTCTCTTCATACACACACACACACACACACACACACACACACACACACACACAAAACGTACATGTGATTTTTTTTTAAACATTAACAATAGAAAGCTGAACACCAGTACCCATCGCTCTTGGATTCCTGACTAAAGATGAAATGTGACCAGTTAAGTTCCTGCTCCTGCCCTAACAACTTCCCCCACCTCAAGACCATCTGTTTATACCCTCAGATTCAATCCAAAACAAGCCCTTCCTTCCTTCCTTCCTTAAGATGCTTTTGTCAGGTGCAAGGTCATAGTAGTGTAAAAAGAATCAGTAACAAACACAGTTTGTTATTCAGTGATGGGTTCGCTAGAATATGCTAAGGACCAGACACTCTTGTTCCCCTTTTCCGGAAGCCACCTTCCTCTCTAACATCCTGTGACTATGCCAGAACACTAGAAGAGTATTAGAAAACACACACACACACACATACACTCCTCACCCCTCCCCTGTTAGCTCTTGCCCTTGAGCCTAACAACATTCCTTATATAGAAATGATGGCTTTCCTTTCTCTAGTCCCCCTACTAGAACCGGGGGTGTCGATCAAATACATCTCAGCATGTGCATGACCTAGGGTTCAGTCCCCAGCAATGAAAGGGGAGGGGGAGGGCGAGAGAAGAGAGAGAATGTTCCAACCACCACTTGCTATCAAAGCCAACACTTCTACTCTTGTCTGCACGAGGATGGGGAGAGGTGACCTCGCCAAAGCTTCTAGAGAGAGTCACACACAGGAGAAGGCATCATAGCCATCACCATCCCCACTTCCCACACTACAACAAGGTATCTGGATTTTCACTTCATAGAAGAATAAAATAGTAGACACAATTAGAACAATTAGCTTCCCCAAGTCACCCATTAGAGACTTAACATGCTCATCTACATGTCTCCAATTCTGGCTTCTTTTCCATCGGCTCATATTGTTTAATTGACACCTACCCTCCCCCCAAATCCTTGGCCCCAGAAGCCTAGGGGCTCAGTTTGATCTTTGCTTCTCATACCCCTTTTATGACACTGTCTTACGCCATCTTTGTATGTAGAGTGATACCATTCTGTACACACCCGACCATCTCTTGATTAATGAGTTTCAATATTCTTTATTTATCAGCTACTATCAGCTAGTTGCCAACTCATCATACCGTGCACAGAGAACATGAAATCCTAACAGGTCCTTCTCCAACAAAGCTGTGGGTGAGCACCACACCCAGATTGCATAGCTCAGGGGAGCTATCCACTGGGCTGGGTGTTGAGTCTGTGCAAACCACTTCACCACTCCCTGGGCAGATCACTGTGCTATCTCTTGAGGAGTTGGGTGGAAGACCAAACATTGAGTAAAAGCTGCCCTCTAGAACCTGTGTTTGTGTTGCAAACCTAGAACCATACCTCTAAAAGAAAGAAATAAAATGTAGAGGTGAAAGATGATCCCACGGCTACCACAGGTTGATCAAAATGGATTTGATTTCAAAGAGTTGGAATGGAACCACATCCACTCCACCTCAGACTTGTACACAAAGACAACAATTGTCAGGAAGGGGAAACTCCTGGGAGAAAAGTTGACCTTCAAGCTGGGTTGACCAGGGATGAGATATTTCTGTCTGAAGCTCATGCATAGAGTCAGAGGAGGATGCTTATCCAAAAATCTGTGCAGCACATGCCTGGCAAATGTCCCCTTGAGTCCACCCTGTTGGGCCCTCCACAGTTTTCTGTTAGGTTACATACTAACAGGGTTCTCTAGAGGGACAGAACTTATAGAATAAAGATCCAAGAGTCCAGTAGTTGTGTAGTTCATGAAGCTGGCTGTCTCAGCTGGTCCTCAGTATATGCCAGAATCCTGAAGAAGTAGGTTCTAATACCAGTGAAGGAATGAATTTGCCAGTGAGAGCAAAAGCAAAGACAGCAAGCTTCCTTCTTCTGTGTCCTTTATACAGGCTGATAGCAAGTTATGGCTCACACTAAAGGTGGATGCTCCCACCTTAAGTAGCAATAGTGATCCAGATTAAAAGTGGGTCTTCCCACTTCAAATTATTTAATTAAGAGTCCCTCACAGGTATGCCCAGCAGTTGGGTTTTAGTTCATTCCAGATGTAATTGAGTTGACAACCAAGAATGGCCATCATAGTTATATATAATCTACTTTTTTCTCTCTATGATATATAAGACCAAGACCAAATGTAGTGAGGTAGTCCTTCTGTAGCACTGACCACGCCCATTGGGGGGTGGAGCGATGGGCGGAGGTGACCTGAGGAAGGAGGTCAGAGGGGGCCAGGAAGGAGCTCTCTCTGGCGTGACTCAGACAGGAGAGGATCGGGTTGAATTTCCTGGTGTTCATCGGTCTAGGTTGTAAGTTATTTCTCCCTGATTAAACATCTATTCGGCCTATTTGTTTATCCTGATCCTTATTTACCGCAATAGTTACCAGAAAATTTTTGTGCTCCCTTTCATGGTTTCTTAGCCTCATTAATAAAAGAATTTAGAAATGACTTAGAAGGAAGCTTGAGGCTAATTTCATTCCAGGAAGGAAAAAAAAAAAGACTGTGGTGTGTATTAGCATACTGAAGCTTCCTCAGGTCTCCAGCCTCACTCAGTACCTGTGACTCCTCTTAGTTCATCTCACAGACCCCCACTCTAATCATGTTCAGCTCATGGGCCTCCCTTCCCCCAGCTTCTCATTCCTATATCACCCTGCCATCTGGGGCCATGGTCTCTCTTGGTGCTTTCTTGGCCCCCTCTCTCGACCCCTCTCTCTTGATCCTCCTCTGTTTATGACAGCCCCCGATGCCCCAATTTACTCTCCTGACCATATTTAGTGTAAGACTTTCTCTCCCTGTTCTGGACTCTTCCAGATGCCTCTGGCTTTCGTCTCCCTCATCTCTACAATGAAAACCTCCCCCTCAAACCATGCCTTGGAGTACTCATGTAAAGTTTTTACATCCAGCACCTGCTGAAGGGAAGAGCACAGAAACAAAGAAGAGAGAAAGCTTTTGGAGTCAGGGTCTGGGGAAGCTTCTGTATTCAGCAATAACATAACTATCTGGATTTCTATATTGAAAGAAATCAAAATTGTACCCATGGCAACAGGAATCAGGACTCAGGAAATGTAAATCAATACATTGACATCCAGGGAACCTTACATATAGATCTTAAATTTATACCTCACTGAAGACCTTCTTAAAATACTTTTAATTTTTTAATTTTGTGTGTGGGGGTGGGGGGGTAGGTCAGTGCATTCATGCATTTGTGCATTCGTGCATGTGTGAGTGTAGGTCAAAGAACAACTTGCTGGAATTGGCTCTCTCCTTCCTCTATGTGGGTTCTGGAAATAAAACCCAGGTGGTCAAGCTTGGTGACAAGTGCTCTTATCCATTGAGCTATTTCTCCATCTCCCTTCAAAGAATGTTTTAATGATAACAGGAGGGAATGGTTTATAATTGTATAATACCCTTTTATTTGAAACCAGTTTTGTTTCTAAACCAAAACTAAAAGTTTTGGCTGTAGTTCTGTAGCAATAGTTACAGGTGGGTCCAAAGAAATTCCCAAAACAGCAGTGCTGGTGAATATCCTAAACCTCCCTTAAACCACCAGGAACCTCCCTTATTCTGTCAAGGGCATTTAGTTCCCAGTCAATCCCAAGACCTTGTATCAGCTCAAGGACCTTGCTGACTGTCACAAAATTTGCTTGTTTTCCACCATTTGCTCTTCTCGCTGAACCCCCAAGAGACAGCCCTGGCAGTTTAATCCTCAATCACATTTCTTTCTAACCAAGAAGGGATCTAGTTCAGGGATGGGGGATGTCCTATGTATATGTTTCTCTTATTGGTTAATGGCCAATTAGGCAGGAAGATAAGCAGGACTAGGAGAAAAGGGGAATTCTGGGATGTGTAGGCAGAGAGCAGTTGCCATGTAGCCATCTGATAGGATAGGATGCACCAGGCATTCTCTGGTAAGATAAGACCACAAAGAAATACATAGATTGATAGATAGGGGGTAATAATTAAGACAGAGCTAGTCAATAAGAAGTCCAAGCTATTGGCCAACGGAGTTATAACTAACATAGCATCTGTGTGCTTATTTGAGGCCAAACAGCTACAAGACGTTCTCATTACAGTTCAATGGTTTCACTTTGCCCTCACTTACACTTACTAAGTATTTTGTTTTATGTAAAACATGTCAGCAAAATGGTCCACACGTAATTCTATCTCTAGTCCTAATGATTGCATGAGTCTGAAGGCCAATCCAGCGGGTTGCCATTTACCAAACCATTGCAGGTGTGCACTTCAGTGCACCTGGCAAGTCAGCCTTCCCAGACTTATCCCATGAACTGAAATAACAACACTTCTAAAATCCAAGAATGTAGTGCTGCCGTAGGAGAAGCCCATATTGAGTGATTACGCACATGAGCTAGTTAGGGAAAGTAAATGCATCCTATTTTTATTACTAAAACAATATCCCAAATTTTCTTTATTTACAGTTGTTTAAAAAGGAACAGTCATAAGCACATACACATATAAATAGTAAGACCTGTAAGAGCATTGTGTCTGTCCCACAAATGAAGAAGGTAAGATCTATAAGCCATGTTGTTTTACTCAAGGATTAAAACAATAAACACACAGAACACCCACCAGATGTTCCTTTCCTATTGGGGGGAAAGGAACCATGAACAAACCACAAAGTAGATACAGTATCCTTCACATTGGACACTGAATCTGACCTGAGTCTTCCAGATACCCAGGATCCCCTCAGTGGGAGGATATCTGGGTGCAGAGCCACAGTGGATTGAGAGCTCACAACTCCAGAGGCTTCCTGCCAGCCATGGACTAGCCAAGAAGACTGTGCAATGCCTTGCAGATGGATTATGAATCTTGATAAGGTGAACAAAAAGTCAGTCATTGTCAAATCTGAGTTAGCAGGTTGGTCTTTTTAAAAGCACACTCATCCACTGTGAGCCTCAGCTAGATTTCCAATTGAAGTGGTACTCCTGGCTGGTAGAGGATGTTGCTTCATTCCAGATACATTTGTTCCTCCTTCTCTTAGAGCTCCTCTCCATCCCAGCAAGCAAGACATCTCTAGAAAATAATGAGATTGGAACACTTGTTACTACAAAGAATAATAGCTGGCATTTCTTGACAACTTAACTTAAGCCAGGCAATATTCTAGGGCAGAGGTTCTCAATCTGTGTTGTGACCTCTCTGGGGTCAACATATTTACATTACAATTCATAATAGAAGCAAAATCGCAGTTATGAAGTAGCAATAAAGTAATTTTATGGTTGGGTGTCACCACACCATGAAGAACTGTATTAAAGGGTCCCAGCATTAGCAAGGTTGAAAACCACTGTTCTAGAGGTTCTAGGGGAATCTGGGAGGAATGTGCAATTATATCCTGATTTACAGAGGAGGGGATGGGGTGGAATGGACTATATATCACACAGCATCAAGGATGCTCCCTACCTGTGTAGTACTGATTCCTGAATCCTAAAATGAACTAAGAAGCCCCTTTGCTTTTCTGGGTCTCCAATTAGTCTTCAGAATAACTCCAGTGCTCTTAATTTACATTTACATTGTTTTCTTCAACAGGGTTTCTCTGCATAACAGCTCTGGCTGTTATCTGCCTCCTGAGTGCTGGCACTATAGGTGTGAACCACCACCTCCCTGGCAACCCTGTTTCCTTTTAAGTGCACTTGAGGCTTAAACAAACATCTGGAGGAAATCTCAGGTAGGTCAAATGACCACTATGTCACAAGGCTTCAGGTGTGAATAGCAGAGGGTACTGTGCAGCTGTGGCCTCCTTAGGAATGAGGTTCAACCCCCAGTCCTCCCTGTTGGGATCTGCCAATCAGAATTGCCACCTGAAACAAAGTACCCTCGGTTCATGTCTCTGCGGTCCTTCCTTGCTGCAGGCCTCAGCACAGAGCTGGCATACTTCTGTATCGAAACCCAACCTTGGTCCGAGATTGCGGGGTGTTATAAAAGGAGCTTCCATGATGTAGAAGCCTCTGTGTCATCCCAAATCCAGTCCTAACTCCTGGAGCTTGACTTACTGCTGAGTCTATGGCCTAGCATTTGGCTTAAGAGCAGCAACCCTGCCTTTTCTGCATGGTTTCATCAAGACTGATCTGCACCCCTACTTTGCATGTACCAAATAACACCCTGGGTGTTTCTGTGGTCGGAACCCCCTCTCTTTGAAGACACCCCACCTCTTGGCCACCAGATGTCCATTCTGAACTTGAATTTTTCACCTACTGTGATTTCCATATCCCTCTAGACTAAGGCTTATTCGATCCCCCACTTTTTCTGCCATGGTGCCAACTGCTGTTCCAGAACCCTCTTAATACTGTGTATGTGTAGGTGTAATTCACAGGCCCAATTACTGAGAAAATTCAATAGGGATAGAGACACCTGCCGAGCACACGCCAAAAAAAGATGCAAAGCTCAGTTCATCATCCTAAGTTCAAAAATAGAACTGAAAATCAAATAACAATATAGGGTGGGCTTGGCTGACAGGTGCACTCCCAACTCCCCGGCCTTCCTCCGGTTCACATCTACGCCCTTCTGAACTCTAGTATGGTGTGCCTCTTGTCTTCCTATCTGCTCCTTTCCCAACTAACGAAGTGTGCCCAACCAACTGGAGAAGGGGCCTCATCTATGGCCCTCCTCTCCAGAACGGATGGATAAAGTATCCCCAAGAAGGCAGTGACATGAGCTAAGGCTGTCGATGGTAACTGAGACCTTGCTAGAAAGGCCAGCTCTGATATTCTATTAGGATAAATTAATTATACGTAATGAGGTTCATTATGCCATTTTGTACGTGCATATGATATATTTCAGTCATGTTTAACCCTCCCCAGTTACCATTGTTTGCCCTCCTCCTACATCTTCCTTTGTTGGCTGGTTTTGGTTTTTTTTATCATTATTATTGGACTTTAGCATTTTTGTTTTTGTCTGCTTTTTTGTTTTTTTGTTTTGTTGGTTTGTTGGAGGCACGGTCTCACTATGTAGTATTGGCTGGCCTGGAACTCACTATGTAGACCAGTCTGGCCTTGAACTCACAGAGATGCAACCACCTCTGCCTCCTGACTGCTGGGATTTGAGGCGTGCACCACCACACCTGACACTCCTCTCCCACTTCTGCTCTTCTTCCCAACCGACGCTCCTTTTCCACCAGCTCTCTCTTTCATAGTTCATCTGAACCAGTGACAAGCCACAAACTGTTCTCCTGCGGGTGAATCCCACAGCCTAGGGAATGGCCAGGGCCAATAAAAGCCGGCCTTTTAAACACTTTAATATTAAATCCAAATGTGAGAGTCATCACTTAAGGACTCTTTGCTTGTGGTGATTTGAATAAAAATGGCCCCCCATAGGCATATAGTGAGTGGCACTACTAAGAGGTGTGGCCTTGCTGGAGTAGATGTGGCTTTGTTGGAGGAGGTGTGTCACTATAGAGTGGGCTTTGGGGTCTCAGATGCTTAAGCCAGGCCCAGAGTGGTAGTCGCTTCCTGCTGTCTGCAGATCCTGATGTAGAACTTGCAGCTCCTTCTCTAGCGCCATGTCTGCCTGATGATATGGACTAAACCTGTAACCTGTAAGTCAGCCCCAATGAAATGGTTTCCTTTATAAGGAGTTGCCATGGTCTAGATGTTCTTTCACAGCAATAAAACCCTGCGGCAATGATGGTCAGTTTTAACTAGGTGTGTCAAGTCTCAGCACAACCTAGAATTGATCCCCTGGGAAGAGAGTCTTAATGAGGTGTTATCTAGATCAGATTGCCTGTCCTGACTGTTGATTGGTGAGCAAATACTCATTCCATTGTGGGCTGCCCCATTCTGTAGTCACGTGACCCAGAACACTGTAAGTGGGAGAAAGCTAGCTGAGAGCAGGCAGGCATCCATATGCTTTCTTGCTCTTGACTGTGGATATGAGTCTTTAAGCTCCTGCCTTGGCTTCCTAAAATCATGAACGGTAACCTAACCCTGTAAACCAATGAACCACTTCTCCCCTCAGCTGGGTTCTTATTGGTGTATGTTACCACAGCAACAGAGGTTAAACTGCACCAGATTACATGATGCATACTCCTCCTTTTGCTTTTCCAGTACGCCACACCTGTTAGTCTGCACAGATGACTTTTTCCCTTCTTCCCTTTCCCTCCCCCTTTTCCTGGGACCCTGTGTCTGAGTCCCACACCAACACATCAGGTTTGTGGGATTTGCAATGCAGGAAACTTTACAAGATTCCTTCGAACCCACAGTGTCTTTGCTTCCTCCACTAAATTGCTTGAAAGCCCTACCTGAGCCATACCTCAAAGAGAAAAACAATGTAAAAGCAGTCATGGCCATTGCCAGGTGACGGAACAAAGAGTCACATTCAGCTATGTGTGTGTGAAACAAGGTCTGTCACCACCGTGTCTACCCTGCACCTGCTATTACAAGTGGCATAGTTTCTGACTGCTGTCTGATGACTTAATCACCTCTTCATGACTATAATATTTGCCCCCCCCCCCCGCCAATTTCACCTGTGTAGAACTAAGTCTCAGGAATCAACCGTGAATAAGCAAGTAGTTGCCTCACGTCCGCCCATACCCTCTTAGAAATGATTCCAGGCCTCACTTCACCAGGGAGAGGCAAGCCTGCCTGTTGTTTTGCAACTTTGATCAATCAGTGCTTCTGTCTAGGCAATGGAGTTACTGTAAATGCCAAAATCAATTCACAAGAAGGAACTAAGTCATTGTTTAACAATGAACAGCAGTGAATGCAGAGACTCATAGTTCCCAAGATGCAGAAAACAAGCAACAGTAGTGGTCTCAGCTCTCAACAAGGCATGGACACCACCATCTCTAAGGTTTGGGCTACATTGTGGAAGATGGGATAGAGGTCTTCAAGATGTCATTTTCTGCAGTCTAGATGTCTCTACAGTCCAATGCATTCATGAGGTCACAATAGCTGTAGACACCTACACTTGGATAGGCCCTATCCACAACCAGCCATTGAAAGGGGAGGGGCTCATGATGCCCCACCCTTTGCCTCTGAACTACTGGCCATTAATAGATTCTGGAAGAGAGGGAATCACTATTATCAGTTCCGTGCTCACTGCCTAGCCCACCAGGTTCCAAAGATTAGCCCCAAACCCGTGGCCATAGTCAGTCCTATTTGAATTTAGCGGGTCAGAAGACAAAACAAATGGACATGAACACGAGAGAGAAATTTGTGGGGACAAATGAAGGTGGGCAGGGGGTAGGAGGTGACAGTGGTCAATAGTCATTGCTTACACATAGAAAAGTATCAAAGAACAGATTTAACTAATAAAGAAAATAAAAACTTTAAAAAGGAACTAAGATGTGTAAGCTTGACAGATGGCTCAGTGTACCATATTATTAGCACAAGTGAAGTCACAGCACCTCCTCACCAAGGTCATAACACTGAGGTCCGGTCATAGAAACTCAGTGGACACTTCCCTGTTTTTACTTTTCTACTGAGCTATAGAGAAGTATCACTCCTCTGAAATCATGCTATCCTAAGCCCTCTCATCTTAACCAGCATGCTCACAAGTTTCAGTGGCTTACAAGTAGCTCAGTGGCTCACAAGTGGCTCAGTGACACTTGCAAATAAAGTTTCTACTTGAGTTTTCAATACTCACATTTTAGTCTCAGCGATTCAGTACTTTGGATCCATTGGCTGGACTTAAGGATGCCTTCTAAATGGGGTGAAGATAACAGAGTTGTCAATGAGTAATGATACTGGCAAAAAATTATGCATATTTGTAGATTAGTGTGCAGACTGACTAGAGACAGTGTGAAAAGGAAGCTATAAAGAAAAACATCCAAGTTGATACACCCACAAAGAATAGAATTACTTTAGGTCAACGAATGTAACATTGTAAGTGATCTCTTTGTTGCTGGTTTGCTTTTCTAAACAAAGTCGCAAAACCAGTCAGTTAAGACACAATGTATTAATTGGTTAGATGGTACATTTTAACTCAAGAAATAAAATGGTAAAGAAAATTCCTGTCTTAAAATTGATAAACTGTGATACTAAAAGTATGCTTGGAAATAGCCAGAGATGGTGCTCTTAATACATCCAGAAAGTTTGTTTCTTAAAACTCTAAGGAAGAGTATGCTTGTTGAACAAATACATTTTATCTGATTCAGAAATGTTGACACTCAATGCCTTCAAAGACAGATTACCAACCCCACAGTCTTCCTTACAATGAGTACACGCAAAATTAATCCAGTTCACAGAAAAGAGTCCCAAACATGGAGGGCCAAAAAGCGTGGCATTTCCTCCTGGCTGATTCTACTTTTAATGAGATGAGTGAGTGATGACCTTGCACATATCCCATTAAATTCTCAGCTAAACCCTTCACCTGTAAAATGAGGGAGGTAAACTAAATTCTCATTTCTAACTCCCGCTTTTTATAAACCACATGCAAATTTCCCTCAAAGGTATCTTCTGCTAGTTTTCCATTTCAGCTGATTCTCCATAAATTTGAAATAATAATTTTAAAAAAGAGTGATTTATTTTCCTAACAAATTCTGAGTCCTGGACTCTGGCATCCATCTCTGCATGAGGGCACTGATCCTCCAGTTTGTCAGTACAGGAAGGGACCTTACCTCTGCTGCCCTAGATTTCCCCTTCAATGAAGACACCCTCATCCTCAGCGCATCCCGTATCTGAAAAGCAATGGCAGTCAGTGGTCAACAGATGTCAGGGGACGCAGCGGCATTCCAGAGCCCAGACACATGTCCTAGAACTGTAAGACCAGTCAGTCTGGTCAGAGCAACATTAGGTGGTTAAGCATCACACCCAGCAAACAATGGGACTTGAATAAAAGTTGAAGAGTGACAATAGGAATACACAGAGCTATTTTCAAATTGTAGCCATGGTTTCTTTTCTATTTCCCAACAGCACCATCCTGCAACCCTGCCTGTCTTAACAATAAGCAAGCCCATGGCATACAGCATTCTCTTTTTCTTCCCCACAGCTCGGGCCCTGGGCTCTGTTCACAAGCTCAGCAACCCAAGACCCCAGTTAAAACTGTCTCACCCTCCTGCTTCCCTCGGCCACGTGGATTTGTCTGGCAATGAATGAAGCAATTACCTTGTGATCCATAATTGTGCCAAACAGCAGGATGAAAAAGCCCTGTTGTAAAAGTCAACAGAATCGTTAGTACAGCTTCCCCAACAGCACCCCAGTGTTATTTTAGTCCTGCCCTCTGGGTAACCCCTGAACTGAACCTAGACATTAGAACTCCATTTCCACTGATGCAGATGAGCATGCGTTGGCAGAACCTGGCGTGGTGGCTCAGATCTGTATTCCTAACACTTGGGAGGCAGAGGTAGGAGGATCTCTAGTTCAAGGCCAACTAAGTCTATAATGAGTTCTAGTCAAGCCTGAGTAGCTTAGCCGGATGGACAAGCAAATGAAACTTGTGTCCTGGCCTGTTTTGAATTGGGGTAAGCATTTTGTAAATAGTCAACCCTCTGAGATGGTTAAAAAAAAAAAAAATTAAGAAAAGCAAATGAAAACTACAAAGACCCAGAAGCTGGGAGGACCTTGTCTCCATCTGCAGACAAGCTTGTTGTGAAGAAAATCTGATAAAGTAACAATGAAATATTAAATGTAAGTTACAGGGAACACTAGCCAATAAAAGAGAATTTAGCATAACTAAAAGTTTTTTTAGTGTTTTCTATCAATAAAAGAGTAATATGAATGTTCTGAAAAAGAAATGCAGATAATAGATTCCTAAGGTTTAATTAAGCTGCAAAGAGAAAGAAAGAAAGAAACAAAGAAAGAAAGACAGAAAGAAAGATGAAAAGGTAAGGGCTAAATCTACTGGTGTAACCTTATAGTGTAGCCTGGGTTTGGTTCCCAGCACCAGAAGAGAAGAGACGTAGGGACATTAAAGGGAAGGGAGGTGAAGAGGAGAGAAAAAGGGAAAGGAGAGGAGAGGAGGGGAGGGGAGGGGAGGGAAGGGGAGGGAAGGGGAGGGGAGAGAGAGGGAGGAGAGGGGAGAGGAGAGGAGAGGAGAGGAGAATGAAGTCACTAGAGTAAGTTCCACCTGAATCCCAACACTCAGGACACTGGGACAAGAGAATAATTATTATTTTGAAGTCAGCTTGGGCTAAAGAGTAAGACCTTTTCTCAAAATTTTAAAACAGAACAGGGGTCCGGAGAGATGGCTCAGTGGTTAAGAGCCCTCACTTCTCTGGTTGAGGGCTTGTGCGCAGTTCCCAGTTCCCAGCACAGCCATTTGTAACTCCAATCCAGGGGATCAGATGCCCCCTTCTGGCCTTCCTGGGCACTGTATTCACACAACACAAAGACATACATGCAGGCAAAATATCCACATACATAAAATGAAAAATAAAAGGGAAAGACTTTTTTACTTGAGGCAAAAAGAGTAAAAAATTTCATTTCAATCAAGAGCTTTTGAGTTCAAGGAAACAAAGGCTAAAGTCAGTGTTTTCTGTTTAAAACATTTAATAGGTAGGGTGAAACTGGCATAGACCATAATTACTAAAAGAATGAGTGATCTAAACTGGCGTTTCTTAAAAGTCTGTGTTAAGCTTACACTTCATGCGGTGCCTTAAGTACTAGTGACAGGTCAACAGAAACGCTTTACTATTTTATTGAATTTTATTTTATTGAATAGTTACAATATTTAAAATAAAAATTGGAAAACTTTCTCCCAAACACCAGATAGGAAATATTTACGCTTTACCAGCCATACCCCTCTGCTGCAGCTATTCAAATGTGTCATTGTAGCCCAAAGTAAGCTACAAGGAAAACATAAGTAGGTATGGCCATGTTCCAGTAAAATCCTATTTATAAAAACAAACAGAAAACTTGCATTTTCCAAGCCCCAATTAAAAGAGTAATTAAGGCTATCAACCTGCAAGGTGTTTATTTTTTTTAATTACTCATAGGTAGAGAATGCAATCTGATTAAATGATAGCATCTCCAAAAATGCAAGCTTAGAAGAAGCAAGAGGAAAGATTCAGAGAGACCATCTTATCAGAGCATGCATGCTAGAGTGGGAAAATACATTGGAGATCATGCCATATCCAAATGCTTATTTTACCAAATGAGAAAGTTGAGACCTTCCCAAGACCAGTTAACATAGGACAAGATCTATATATAAATGGTACCTAAAATTTATCTCACAGGAAATGGCAAGAAAGAATTACAAGAATCCCTGGCTGGTCAACTTACAAAGTGATGGTCCTCTCTCTGCACTACAGAAAATGTCTATTTTGCTGAGTTCCCTGCAGAAGGATAGCATTACACTTATTTTGATCAAGGAGCAACTTTTTGCATCCATGACCAAAGGGCAGTCATCAATGTGAGAAGATTACCTTCTGACATGAGAGGGTGGACCCAGGGTCACTGAGACAAAAAGGACATTCCCCTCCCACCAGCTTAGTCAACTCCAACCTTATTCCAACCTTATTGGTGGCAAAGCATAGCAACCTCCTGAGACAGGGAGACGGCTAAACATTTGAGGCCACCCTGGCTACAAAGTGAGATTCTGTCTTAAAAAAAAACTTTTCGTTAAAAAATGACTCTATGGGTGAAGGCCCTGGCCACAAAACCTGATGACCTGAGTTCAATCTCCAGGGTCTTCATAGTGGAAAAAAAGAACTGACCCCTGCAATTTGTCCTCTGACCACAGATGTCCTGTGGCATGATTATGCCCCACACATACACGGGCACAGAATGTTCACACAACAAACAAACAAACAAACAAACAAACAAATAACTGTTATTTTTAAGTTGGGAAACTTAGAGACGCCTGAAATCTAGAAAGAACCCTTGGTATCTATGGCAAATAAATCCCAGCCACCCTTTGGTGTCTAGCCAGAAACACAAAGCGATTAGAACTTACCTGGAAAGCATTGAGCAGGGCAAAGATGATATGAAAGACCAGGTGTGTGCCTTCTAGCAAGGTTGCTAAACCAAAACCCCAGGTCAGTCCCAGCAGTGGGGTGAGGATGGCGACATTTTTACTGATCCTGATAGCTGTGGCCATATCCTGAGACTTTGAACTGCCAATCAAAGGCCGCTGAGTGCTAATAGCAACTGCAAGAACCACAAGGAGATTCACAGCCACAACGGCCAAGGCTGGGATGGCAAATGCCAAAAGGGCCTTGGTTTGGTTCCAATTAAGCCAGCAGGCATCTTTTCTGGTGTAGCCTTCCCCGGGCTCTGTGACAGTAACTGTAATGACAGCAATCACCAGGGGACAACCATAGCCAACGACAAAGCCAATGGCCATCATCCGAGACTTCATCATCCTTTGGAAAACAACCAGTATCCCATAGACTATGAGCAGCCCTTTGAAGAGCATCCAGAAGAACAGGGAAAGGAAGAAAAAATGGCTGAAAAATGTCACAGCCACACACCACTTGTGGTCCTCCTGAACATTTGCACTGGAGCCAATGATGAACCACACGTTGGCTGTCAGGAGGGACACGGCGATGTTCACGATACACACGTGGCGCATGTATGATATCTCTGTCACAACCACCCGGGACCAAACCACTGCTTCTACCACAAGGCAGAGCACCAAGCTAAAGATGGAGACGCTGATCCCAATGAAAGTGATATAGTCCAGAACCTTGTCCCTTACAGGTTTGGATGACATGAGAATGGAGAAGGATGTCACAGCTCTGTTGTAGTTACAGTGGCAATTCACTGTGTCGGTGGAATCCAACACCATTTTACATGGGCTCTCAACCCACTGCCTCTTCTCCGAATGCCAACCGACACAGTGGCCGATAGTGTCCTGGGATTTATTGATCTTTTCAAAGGTGAGTATGATTTCTTTCAGATCTTCTGGCAAAACCAGTGACAGGACCAGACTATTTATGGGCTTTGAGAGATTCATAGTTGGCCCATGGACTTCTTTCAGGATGGCCCCCAAGGTTGGAAAAGCTATGCCAATGGCTTGGGAGGTATTGGATGGTAGCTTGTGTAATGCTTGTCTGGGAATTTCTATCAGCACTAAGATATCTTCTGTGTTGTTGTATATAGGCATGGAGAGGTTGAAACTGTTCTTGGAGGTGTGATAGATGCGAGCACCCTTTGTCTGAATGAAAAGTTCATCGACAATGCTCTCAGATTCACCGTGGACTTGGAGTTTCTTGGCAAAGGAGTTCACTGACTCCAACAAATCTGAGCTGGCATTTTTATTGGGAATGAAAGCCCAATTTGAAATGGCGGTCTTGCTAAGGATGTGGTTGGCCATTTTCCCATAGTTCTGCAATGGAGACAAGCCTGTTAGTGTAAAAAAAATCAATCTCTAAACTTCAAAACGTTGGCAGATCTAATTATTTCATCTCATTTTGATACTTGCCTCTTCAAATTCACTACTTATTGCGATTGTGCATTAGTAAGGTTAATGGAAGAAAATTAAAAGAATGTAAAACATACATACTTTAGTATAAAAAATAAAGAAAATCTCAGCTAGTTGTCCTGGCTAGTTTTATGCCGGCTTGATACAAGCTACAATCATTTGAAAGGAGAGAACCTCAACTTCAAAGTATGCTTCAACAGACACAGCTCTAGAGAATTTTCTTAATTAGTGATTGATGAGGCGAGGGTCCGGCCCATTGTGAATGGTTCCATCCCTGAGCTGGTGGTCCAGTCTTCTATAAGGAAGAAGGCTGAGCAAGCCAGGGGAACAAGCCATTAAACAGTATCCTTCCATGGCCTCTGTATCAGCTCCTGCCTCTGAGTTCCTGTCCTGTTTGAGTTCCTTCCTTGGCTTCCTTCACATGATAGACTATTATATGGAAGTAGTATAAGCCAAATAAACCCTTTCCTATCCAACTTGCTTTTTGGTCATGGTGTTTCATCAGGGGAATAGAAACCCTAAGACAGCAGTTAAGAGCATTGGCTGCTCTTGCAGAGGACCCAGGATTAGTCCCCAGCACATGACAACTCACAACCATCAATAATTTCAGTCCCAGTTCTGGCCTCTGAAGGCACTAAACACACATAGTCTACATACATACATGCAGGCAAAACACCAATGCACATAAATAATAAATCTTTTGAAAAGAATATATATTATATGTACATATATACATGTATATTTCATGTGTTATATATGTTTGTCTAAATATTGTTATTGATCAAAGAAATATACTCACAGGAAGATCCCCTATACAGAATATAGAATTCAAGTTCCATGAAATGTAGAAAATCATTTTATGGAAGGAAGTATCTGTGCATTCCATGATAAGATTGACAAATATTTTATAGACACCATATCGCTATATCCCTCCCTTCACTAATAAACGCCAGTGTTCATGAGCACACTAAAGACTCTGAGAAGATGACCTAGGGCTTGCTGGAATAGATCTGTTAGGAAAGTGTTTTCCCAGCACACATGAAGACCTGGGTTCCCTTCCCAACACAGCAAAGACTAGGCGGAGAGAGGCACATCTGAACTCCCAGGCCTAGGAATGTGGAGGCAGGAGGATCATAAGCACAAAGTCAGGCTCAGTTATACAGGAGGTTTGAAGCTACCCTAGGCTACCTGAGACCCTGTCTCAAAAACTGAAACCAAAAGACCCATCTGTGTTTAACACACAGATACTAACTGCTGTTGTGATGCACGACTCCCTTCTAAAAATGCAGAGTCAAACCGTGTGAACTACTCAGGTAGACTTGGTGTAAGGCAGTCACCATGTATTCACAGCCTAACTTTCATGAAGAAGAATGTGTCAATACAGAAAGCTGAACAGAAATGTCTGCTGCTGGAAAAGAACATTTAAAATATAAAATAGCAAGAATTTTAGAAAACTGTCTGTGTTCAATGAGATTAATTTTTTGAGTACCTTCATTTTCTCATGAGTCACATTACCATGTGGTCCATTATAAGTTTGCAAGCCTGCAGAAATATTTTTTAATAACTCTACTATGAATGCAATATTTCCAGATGTAACGTCAGAGGATTTCACAGCATCAACTATGCAGACATAGTCCTCAGGGCAGTATTTGTGGATTCCTTGAAATACATTCCCGATATGAACCTTGTTGTCTATTAAGTTCATGGGAAAAACAGAGGATGCTGCGATGGAAAGACTAGCTGCAGCATTTGGGACCTGAAAAAGAAAAAAAGATAACAAGCATTAGATGAAAGGAACTAAACCACCACAAACAACTTCAATTTCATTGGGAAAACAGACTGACAAGGTGGCCCTAGAAGTAGGTCACTTGCTGAGAGTAGCAGTCACAGGAGGCCTGGCTACCACCAAAATTCCAGAGATCGGGCTAGTGACCCTGCCTAGAATTTGCTTTCAGGATAATGGTTTGAATTGAAAGGTGTGTGTGTGTGTGTGTGTTATAAGCATGTATATGTTTGTGTGTATACAAGTCACAGGATGGAGGGTGTCCTCACCTGTGTTTGCACATATGGACATCAAGAGTCAATGTCGGGTGTCCCCCTCAATCAATCTCTCCACTTTATTACATTTTAGGATTTATTTTATTGTTAATTATATATACCCATATATGTCTGTGTGCAGGTCTGTGCACATAACTACAGATACCTGGGAAGGTCAAGAGAGGACATTGGTTTTCTTTGGAGCTAGACTTACAAAGAGTTGTGGGCCATCCAACTTGGGTACTGAGAACCAAAGCCTGGGCCTGTGAACTGGCAGAGCCCTATTGTTGTTGTTGTTGTTGTTATTATTATTATTCGGTCTCTCACTGAGCTTGGAGCTCACTTTTTGGCTATACTGGCTGAACAGCTAGCTCCAGGGAGGTGCCCAGCATGGAGTTTACAGGCACACATGGCTGTTACAGCAAGAACTTTACCCACTGAGCCATCCTCCACAGTCCTTCAAGATTCTATAGCAAGCCAAATTCGACAGAAATAGGGAGAAGGAAGTTCCAAGTGGAATTTCAAAGGACAATTGTTTGGGTAGGTTAGCTGTTCAAATACTAAAGAATCAAAATTTCAAAAAAAAAATGTACATTTTTCCAAGTGTAAGTTGTTGACCATTTCCTGTTATTTTTTACCTATACTCCCTCAGAAAGTAACTTTGAATAAGTAAGCATTTCTGTTCTCTTGTGCCTCTCACTGTAGTTACAGGGGCTTCACCATGATTCCCTTGGCTATAAAAGCAACATCCTCTGTAATTTCTTTCTAAAGCCCCATTAAATAAAAAATGTGGAGATCCATGTCCTTTGGGGGAGTTGGAGGAAATGGAAAGAAGTGGGTGCCCAGTAGAAGTATATGAGATAGATTTTTATTGTAATTGAGACACGTAGGGACCATTGAATTTTTATTCCATCTACATTCTGTTTTAGTTAAAGGATTGAAAGCATTATAAAAGAAGTCAAGTTTAATTTAAGACATGTTTAGTTGATTTAATACAAGAGGCATACAAATCCACCCATGAACCTAAGCTGATAATTCTCATCCATCATTTGCATTTACTTTAAGGAACTTTTATTTGATTTATTCAACCATCTGTTCCCAAGGTTAGAGTTGACACAATCTCTATTTCTCAGCTGGACTTCTCACCCAAGCCTGGAACTGATCTTTACTGAGAAGAGGGAGAGAGTGAAGAAAGAGGCAAGTACATCAGTGCATGGATAAGGAAAGGCAGCCATGATGCAAGCCACTGGGCAACTTCCCCCAAGTCATTTAGAGCAGATAAGAACAGAAGTGCCACCAACCACCCCCTTACACACACACACACACACACACACACACACACACACACACCCCTCAGGGAGAGGTAGCTCCTGTCACCAGGAGTATACCAGAGTATCACCTGAAACAGGGTGTCCACAGAGAGGCTTGTACATGTTTCAATTCTTTTTTGCCATTTATCTTGATTACATGTGAATTCTATTTCTCCATGGAAATACCAAGGACAGCTCTGGCTACATTTGGTAGATGGGGTGCAAGATCCATCACATGTATCTGAAAATAGGAAGACAAAAAAAAAAAAAAAGACAGAAAAGAAAAAAATCAACAAGTTAGAAATTACCATTTCCACACTGATAAATTCATCTAGTTCATTCTGGAACTTCATGAATAGCTAGCCAAGAAGACAACACTGAACTGCATTCTCAGCAACAAGAAAGAACCACATGGTGGATGGTGAAGCTAGTGTCCAGGAGGAGTGAGCAGGAGGCAGAAAGGGGGAACTCAGGGTATCCAGAAATCCGTGTTGAGAAACTCTGAGGTGGGAGAAAAGGAAAAGAACATGAGAAGGAACACAAGAGCTCTGAAGACTGTGGTAGTGGAAGTGAGACGTGACCCCCATGAGCTCATGTATTTGAGCTTGGTCCCCAGTTGGTTTAGCAAGGTTATGGAACTTATAGGATGCCAAGTATTTCTGGAGGAATTATGTCACCGAGAGCAGGCACTGAGAATGTATAGCCTCACCTCACTTCCAGTTTGCCCTCTCTGGTTGAAAATATGACCTCTCAGCTCCCTGCTCTGAATATCTGCTGCCATGCCTCCACCACCACTATGGACTCTCCTTCCTGAACTAGAAGCCCAAATGAACTCTCTCTTCCTGGTTACCTTTGGTCATGGTGTTTTATCACAGCAACAAAAAATAACTAGCACAAATGCTGAGCAGAAAGCATGATTACATTTGTGATTGAAAGATAATTGGCAGGTGCAGAGAGCAAGAGCCAGTGAGCCTTTCTGTGCAGAGCTATACACTTAGAGCTGGGGAATATGATGACACAGGCAATGCATGTAACCTTTATATCATTTGAGGGACAGTCACTGTCCTTATTCACTGGGGTTACTCTATATACAGTCACCATGAATTAGCGAGTACTGATACAAGGCTAAATTCCTGGGATTTTTCTGCTCATGATATTCTCAGCATGATGAGTCTGTGGCCTTGCTTTGATCTGTATTTCTGAATAAAAACATAACACAGTCTTTAATACATATTGTTGATTCATTAAGTTGAGCTCATAGTACACAGCACTCATAGTGCATAGTGGTTCTTACTCAAGCCTGAACAATGCTGACCTGGCCTACCTAACATATGCATTTTCTCCACCACAGCCATCTTTGGTCTATAAATACTACACAGCATTCCAACATTCTTATTAGAGGATCACTTGGAAAAGAAAAATCACCACTAATAAGTCCCCAAAACACAAAATGATAGATCCTGGTTAGTTTTTCATTGGTGGTGGTGGTAGTGGCAGTAGTGGTGTTCTGCTTGTTTGTTTTTGTTCTTTGTTTTTGAAAACTTATTTTCAGAACAGATTGGCCCTAAGTGGTGGAGCAGACTTAAAATTTAGTACTTGGGAGGGAGAATCAGCCTACATAGTAAGTCCTGTCTCAAAAACCAAAAGCAGAACAGGAAAGAAGGGGAAAAAAATAGCATTGAGTGATATTACAGTGTTGGAATCAGTAAAAACAAGGTAACAAACTAGACACAACTCCACTCCCCGGCAAAGGAAGTAAGTAGGTTTGTATTTTTCCTTGACATCTATTCAGGATACTTATTTTGGCTAATTCATTAACTAGAATAGTACTTAGTTTCTTCATCCACTATTTGGAGATGGTGCCTTGGTGTTGTTGTAGACATACAATGGGACAGCATCTTGCACAACACTTAATGTTAAATACTCAATAATTGCTATCTTCCTTTCTGTCCTCTTTGTTTCCACAGAAAATGAAAAGCCGTGGATTCCTTCCAGACTAATGTGGTTTGATCAGGCCAGACCACCTGAAACAGAGTTCCATTTCCATTATCATATTACATGTGCTAGTGGCCTTAAACCTGACAGTGACTTGAAATGTTTGACTGAAGTCATATGATGCTAAAATGTTAGTAATGATAATGTTCTCATTCCTCTACTTCAGGAGTGGCCAGTCTTATCACCATCAAATCACCCTGTCTTGCTTTACCAGAACTCAGATCACAAGAGTATTGCATATATTTAAGAACCCTGAATATGCCTTTGCAGGAAAGAATAATAGGGCCCTCTTGACCTGCTCTGAGTTTAACAAATTTACTTTCCTTCTAAGTTTGAAAATGGACATCAATCTACTGTTGTAGAGCATGTGTGAATATGTGCCAACTTGCCTAATTAGTTACATAAGAAACAAATTGTTGATAAACACAGACAACTCATGAAAGGTTATTATTGCATTGCAAAGTCTGAGGTCTGAAGACATGCTGGCACCATCCACCTCCTTCTCTATTTTTGCCCTGTCTCCAAATGAATGAAGACTATTCTATAGCCATACATACCTTGCATCCGACTAAACTTATGCTTCCATGAAGATATTTGAAGTTCATTTTTATCCTGAAAAAAAAAATTTCCAAAAGAACATTTACTGTGTGATGTTCTCTCTCAGTTTAACTTAAAGTATCCATGCAAATGCAAAGAGGAAAAGTGTCCAAGGCTAAAAAGGAAACTGTGACAGACTCAAGTGATTGTCTGGAGGGAACTTGCTGGACAAGTCACAAGTGAGGACACTCTGAGGGCTAACCTTGTAGGTCACTTGAGCTCTGAAGGTCAAGCTAGTGGATGGGGTGAATCTCTTGTAGTTTTAAGGATCCAGAGAGAACATAGAAATGGCAATTACACCATCAAGCTAGACTCTACTGACTGCATGGATGGAATACAGCTAAGGAGAAACCCCAGTTACTCAAAATCCATCCTTAGGATCAAAATAATAGAAATTAAGAATATTCACTGGGTTGCAATCAAATCACAAAGCTTTTATACAAGTGAAGGATTATAAGTATTGCCTTAAAGTATAAACTTCGATATGATATAGATATGATATATGATAAAGAAATTAAGAGTCTGTGAAGCAAACAACTCCCAGAGCCAGAAAAAAATAAAACTAAAGAGATCTGAATCTAAATTGTTCTGCTGCAAGCTTTGGTTTGTCCCCTCTTGATAGTTACCTGCAAACAATCTCTGTGGCTTGCACAGGGACTGCCTGTGCTATTATTTCCACCCCCTCTTAACTTTTGTTGATATTCCATTCATTTGAAAGTTACTATCGATAAGAGTAAAGTTATGGTCATACAAAGATGACCATATTTGGCATGTGACTGATCAGATTCCTAGACATGTAAGAGAGGTGATTTCTCTTGGGATAACACAGCAAAAGATAAAGTTTACCTTTTTGTGAATCTTGGGTTTAGACTGAGAATATTCTGTGGTCAGGAAAAACACTAAACAGCAAACAATGGTGACCGGGGGCTTCATTTTCACACATGAGGATTTTAACCTGCAACAGAAGAGCAAGAAGGTAGATACAGCTGAAGGTGATGACTTTACTTGATCTACTCAGTACACAGCAGGGTAAATATACCAAAGAGAGCCACAGTGGGGTGGCTAGAGTCATGGGAAAAACAGGAGACTCAACTGAGAAAATGACTCCTTCAGCTTGGCCTATGGACAGACATGTCTGTGGGCATTTTGTTGATTAATGATTGATACAGGAGGTCCTGGTCCACTGTGAGCAGCTCCACCCCTGGGCAGATCTTGGGATGTATAAGATAACAGGCTGTGTAAATAATCAGGAACATCCCAGAAATCAGTGTTCAGTTGCTATTCCTGCCGAAGCTTCTCTTGGAGATGGACTGCAGTTGGAATGTGAAAGAAGAAGCCCTTTACTCCTCAGAGTTGCTTTCAATCAGAACATTTATCATAACAATAGAAAGCACACTGGGTTACAAACCAAAGCAACATTCCTTAGGAGAGGACTCTAATACCTATTTTCAATCTAATTAAAATGAAAAAAAATTAAGAATTTCTCTCATCATTGATCTCTCTACCAGAGGAGACAATGGACGTATCCAGAAAGATGCATGTTCAGCAAAACTCCAGTCCCTATTCTTTACATCACAAATTTCTTGAAAGTCATATTTATCGAATTTTCTAGGGAGTCTGGGAAGATGGTCAGTCACACCTATAATCCCCTATGATTAGGAAGGCTAATACAAAAAGAACCCTGGGGCTCACTGGCCAGCCAGGCCAGGCAAATCAGCCAGTTCTGGGTTAGTGAGAGACCCTGTCTCAAAACAATGTGCAAAGTGACAGAACAAACACAAAACACAACAGTGTCATCCTTTGGCCTACGTGTGTGTGTGCGCACGCGCACGCACGCACGCGCGCGCGCGTGCGCGCGCGCACACACACACACACATACACACAGGGAAGGGACTATTCAACTGCTGTGCATCAGGTCACATGGAGACAAATAATGAGATAAATTAATGTACATACCTGTCTGCTACTAGATCAAGTGCTGAGACTCCCTCAGTAGAGGAGTCAGCTACTATGCAGATAGACTGAAGGCCCTGGGGAGTACTTATCTCTTCTGTACCCATATCTGCATTTCTTACCTTTTCCATGACAATCTTTCAAAGTCATATCCCTAAGAAGGTATCACCACAGCACTTCCATGTGGAATAGAAGCAATTCAGACCCCTTACTTTAAAAAAAAAAAATCCTTATAATTTTTCTCTTTGAGGTATAGAGCACAGAAGAGGAAAAATAGCCTAGGAGATGAAGCTGGGTTGCAGGTTCCTGTCTACTATTTACAAACTGTCCTTACCCAGCCTGTTTTCCCACTCACCTCCTTAAAGTCACTGTAGAACGACACTAACAACCAGCATTTATCAGGTGACTCGAATTTGCCAGAAACTACTGCAGCTGATGTGAGAGAGTAAAAGAAAAAAAAAAAAAAAAGACAAGCTGTATTGGTTACTTTTCTGTTGTGAGGTTTGGTTTACGGTTTCACGGTGATGTGAACTCATCACGGGCAGAGGGTTGTGGCAACAAGCAGCGGACACTGGAACAGGGACGTGAAGCTGAGAGGCCACATTTCAATGCAAGCATGAAGATGGAAGCTGGCACAGGATGCTCAAGACGGGAGTAGTAGGGGAGAGGGAGATGAAGAAGAGAATATGGGAAGACAGCAAAAACGAGGGATCATTTGAGGAGGAAGAATGGAAACCTAATATAGCAGAAGATTCCTAAAATAAATACATATAAGAAGGTGATCTAAATGAAATCACCAAATAATGGGGGAGAGAGAGCCCCAATTGGACATCGCTTGTCACCAAATGAAGCTTCCGGTAGTGGGGATTGGGTTACATCTAATTAGTTGTTGGCCAAAAGGGACCCATGAAAATCCTCAAACAACCCACGCTGTTTCCAATACTATAGGTTGCTATCCACAAACTGACAGCGAGGCGCCATTGCTGAAGATAATACCTTCACAACTCATTGAACATGGAGAGGCCATGCCTACATAGAGCCTTCACCCCTACATGCTAGTGTCTCCCGTACAGAGGTACTCTGCACACTACCAAAAGAGAAAACAGAAACATCAACCCAGCCGCAAACCCTTTGATCTACATGCTGTGGTGCCTGCAAGAAAAGGAGGCACAAAGCTTATGGGTGTAACCAACCAATGTCTCCTCCACAAGATGGAACCCATATGTGACATCCTTGGGTGACCAAGAACCTGAGACTAGCTAGCCTAGGGACCTACGGTAAAACCAAATACTACTGTTCTAAAAATAAATAAATAAATAGAAATTAAAAAGTAGCAAAATAACGACTCCTAATGACATTCTGCTACACTCACAGATCAGTGCCTTGCTCATGCATCATCAGAGAAACTTCCTCCTACAGCAGACGGGAACAAATACAGAGACCCTCAGCCAGACATTATACAGAGAGTGAGAGACCTAGAGCCCTCAGTCCCAAAGGAAGATTTCTCCAATAAATCCCTCCCCCTCTGGCTCCGGGAACCCTTCTAAAGAGGAGGCAGAAAAAGTGTAAAGAGCCAGAGGTGGTGGAGGACACCAAGACCACAATGCCCCTCTAAACCAGCATCGCAGCTCATACGAACTCACAGATACAGAGGTGGCATGCACGGGGCCTGCCAGAGTCTAAACCAGGTACCCAAAGCTTCCAGTTTGGTGTTCTTATTGGATTCCTGAGTGTGCAGGCAAGTGTGTCTCTGCTTCATGGGCCTCCTCTCGGGCTTTTTTCCTTCTGTTTGTTTGATCCAATCCCAATGTGATGGTTTTTGCTTTACTTTATATTTTATCTTCTTTGTATCCCTTAGAAGCCTGTTTGTTTTCTGATGAGAGACAGAAAAGAGATGGATCCAGATGGCAGAGGAGGTGTGGAGGAGCCGGGAGGCAGGGGAATGAGTAACTGGGATATATTGCATAAACAAATGTATGCTTTCAACAAAAGGGAAAACATTAAGAAGAAATAAAAAGGAAGTCTTCGCAGGGAAACGGAAGCAGGAGGAAGGACAGCTGAGGGGTGGCAATAAATTCGCAAGGACTCTGGGACTGTGTGTACAGAATTCATGATCTTACAGTGTGGGTGGAAAGAGGCCCCGGGATCTGATTGGCCCATGGTTGTGCTGAGCAATGCCGTGGTAGACATTGTGATGGTTAGTTAACCATCACAAAACAAAATACCAGAAGAACCTGTGTAAGTCATCTTTAAGTGCCCACACATTTCACAGACACGCCTGACTTTCAAATTTCGTTACCATGACACAATTAAAAAAAAAAAAAAGCATACAATATGAATCAGTGTGCATAAACAAATATGCATATAGATCTCTATATACAAAACGGAAAATTAGTCCCTTCCCTGACATGGCCTTTTCCAATCCTTCCTCAGTACTTTTCTTCACAATTACTCTGAAATCTCCCTCTTGAGGTATGTGTATCAGGCCCAGAGATGTAGAACAAATTCTGAAGACTAAACAAAGTCTCCTCTGCTGGAAAAGAGAACGAGAAATGTACAAATAGGCAAAATGTCCACAGAGGCGTTTGTAAATAATAACACCTGCACCCGAGGCTTCAAGACAAGGGCTGCTTTCCCCACACCGTGTTTAGTACAGGAATTTTGTTTAAAGCTAATTGTGCTTTCCAGGCATGGTGGATACACTGCTATGCCTGGTACACGGGCTACTCAAGCAGGAAGTTTGTTTGAGGCCATTCTGGCTTGCACAGGAAGTTCCTGTCAAAGGAAGGAGGGAAAGAAGCAGAGAGGGAGGAAGAGGTGGAGAGAGAAAGAGAGAAAAAGACTAAATGAAGAGAGAGACGTAGATGCAGAAGGAGAAAGAGAGGAAATGAAGGGGGAAAGGGAGACCGCGGGAAGGAGGCCAGCTTGCTAGAAGAAACTCGGGCACAGCAATGTGACATGATGTATGGAATTCCCAGTGACAGGGCTTCTGCATTGTGAGTGTTAGGGTGCAACGGATCCAGTAGTCACAAATTGTCAAGCTCTTTGAGAAGCTCTGTGAGACAAAGACACATGGTATATATTCCTACCAGCTAAGAAACATTTAACAAGCAGACAATGTTTATACACACGTGAGGCCATGACTGTAAGAAACATAAAGCTGGAGCCCATCACAGTTAGCTGGGTGGTGTTGATCGTTTGTCCTATTGTTGTCAGAGATCTGTGATGACATATCATTTGGTGTGATAATTACTGTATGTTCAGTTTTTTTTTTCAGTTCTATCAAATACTAGGGGAGAATTTGAAAGCTGTTATACAACAGGAACCACTCATTTCTAAGTTTTGCCTACTCTGGTTGACATGGATGGATGCTATAGATGATGTCAGGTTGGTCTCAATGGGGTTTGTTTTAGTTCTTGTAAGAAAGAATTGAACAGGAGCCATCCCTCTAGAACTCAGATGTAACCAAAGACAAGAGCTGGCATGCTCTGTAAAGCAGCGAATACATTTTAAGAATGGAAATTAGGGCTGGAGAGATGGCTCATCCATTAAAGACTAGGCTTACAACCAAAAATATAAGAATGCAAATTAAAAGATTTTAAAAAAGAATAGCAGTGTCCTCAAAGCTCACAACCAGAGGTCAGTGTTTCAGCCAATAGGGTGGAGGAAGCACTGATATTTTTATTTAAACCTTCTTAGATTTACTATTGATTAATACTTAAAGTGAATTAAGGGCTGGTGACATGGCTCAACAGATAAAGACCTGTTAGCAAGCTTGATGACCAGAGTTGGATCATGGAACCCATTTAAAGAAAGGAAAGAGAGATCCAACTCCCACAAAGTTGTCCTCTGACCTCATGTGCACACTGGGACATGAACCTGCACACCTGCACACCTGCACACACATGCACTGTAAATAAACACATGGAAATTTACACTTAAAGTGAAGTTTACATTTTGCAAGATTCCAAACTGAAAAGTTTCTATTAATGAATTAAGTCCCTCTCTAGTCTTTGGCAGCATCTTGTACGTAGTATGTTATCTCTTAATCAGATAGAAAAACACCTAAGTACTATTCTTAAGGCAACAGAAAGGTGCAAGCCATCCAAAAGAGCAAAGCGCAGCTCTCAGGCAGGAACCTAGGCTGTCTCACCTGGCTGGACAGTTCAGCAGTTCTTAGTGAAGACTGAGTGTCAGGCCTTACCCCATGGAAATACTAAGTATTGCTGCACATATGTGGTGCTCAGCTTTGTTCTGCAGTATGTTCAGCTTGTTGGCAAGTTGTGTGCATCTTTAACATCTATCACTGTGAATCATGGGTGTGGTAGCAGAGATGCTCCCAGTAGGAAGATAGTTCACTGGCTTCTTAAATAAAGACCCTAACTCAGGGATAGGTGTATGTTTCCATGGAAGGAAAAAAAAAAACACCCACTTGGCTCAGGAAAGGCCTTGGCTTCAAACCCCAGCATGTAATACAAAGAGAAAGAGAGAGAGGCGCTAGGACTCTGTGGGAGAAAACAAAATAAGCAGGGTTCTTGGGGTACCACAGTAATGCATATGTATATATGGGACACTTTCCTATTATCCACCAATTTTTTTCCTCAGCCATTTGCAATGGGAACCAAATGTGAAAGAAAATAAAACAAAAGAAAATTTTAACAATCAGGGCATTTATATCCACTGGTTTCAATTTTCTTTGAATTTGAGAGCTCTGTTTGCTTTCCTATGGTAAGCAGTGTAGGTTTCATGTACACTGGGTTCAGTGCCCTAAACTGGGATTCTGTGGAACCTTAGTTTCAAGCTATATAAAGAATGTTACAGTAACTCAACCTAGGGAACAAAATAAACTACACCAGGCTCCCTCTCACCTGCAACACACACACACACACACACACACACACACACACACACACACACACACACACACACACACTTCCTTCAATAACAGTATTGTTTCATCCAGACTTTAGCAAAATTACATCAGCAACAAAAAATGCTTTGGGGGCTGAGAAGAGGTTGGGTAGATGACTCACAGGTTAAGAACACTGGCTTCTCTTTCAGCTGACCCAGGTTGATTCCCAGCACCCACATGACAGCTCACAACCTTCTGGGGGTCAGGTCCCGGGACCTGCTTCTGATCAGTGCAGATACTACACGCACATACTGCATATGTGCACACAGGCATATGTGCAAGGAAAACTCTAGCTTGGGGTCAGCTGCAGCAATGGCGTAAATAGCGAGCCACTTGACATTTGCAAAGAACCTCTCTCTGGTTTCTATGCTGGCCCCCCAGTGAGGGCAGATCCACGCCTTATTCGCCTTATTCTCGGAGTGAAGAGCACAAGGTACTAATTTCAGCCAAGCCACCTAGCGCGGCAGTTTCTCAGGACCTATAAAAGTCAGTGACGCACAATCCAGATCTCTCCTTCTGTCCAGAGCAGCTTGCCTCTCCACACACCCTGACAAAAGTGTGAATTACCCTCTGCCATCCACATTCACTTCTCACACAATAATAAACAGCAATTCTAAGCTGCCAAGTACAGCCAGGCTCCCTGTTGTAACCTAGTGATTACAGAGAGAAAATAACATGGGCCGGCCTCAAAGGCTTGAGGGGATAACGCAACTAAATCCACTAGCCAGCCCAGAGTGCTAAGTAACTACCTCTCCCAACCTATTTACTGTCGTGGTCATCTCACACACTCCTATTGAAGAGTTCTAGTCACAATGGGTCAAGAAAATCTGAGAGAAAAAGAAAAAGAAATCTTGTTAGCCAGGAGATGGACATCTGCAGTCTCTCCATCCTCAGCCAACTCAGCATTTGTTCAGAGTGGAAAACCCTTGTTGACTAAATGATGAGTGAATGAATAATCTGCAGATTGAATGAGTGAATGAAGCCCTTGCCCACCATCTGAAGGTTTGGCTCTAAGACCCGAGGAAGCCCCTCTGTCCTTAAGAATTGGGTGAGCATACAGATGTCTCCCAGTAGCCTCCTTCAGACACCAAAATCCCTACATACTTAGGTCTTTTCCAAAAAAAAACTGGTGCAAGCATTTGCACAAAACCTCTGCTGCATGTTACACTGTCGCAAAAGCTTTGTAAATAGTTGTTAACCTGGCTTGTTTCGGAAATGATAATGATAGACACGTCTGCACGTGTTCCGTTCCAACACAGGATCATCCCTGATGCTTTGCGCACTCCCATTAAAGATGTGGGTATGGAGCACACAGACACAGGCGATCCAGCTACTTGCAACTCCAGATAACTTTTGGACCCTGCTGAGGTTGATAGAAATGTTCCTTCTCTCATCACACCTCCATTTTGTTGCAACATCTGGGCCCTGATTTAAAAAAAAAAAAGTTTATGAAGTTTCATGAAGGAAAGAAAGGAGGGAGGAAGGAGGGAGAGAAAAAGCATGAAAGAAAGAAAAAGAAGACAGAGAGCGGAAAGGAAGGGAGGAGAAGGAAGCGAGGTAAAGATGAGGGCACGGGGTGCTGGCTGTGCATGTGTCCCTCGAGTCATAAACACTGATGCTGAGGACAGATCACAAGAACTGCATGTTCCTGAACACCACCTCCTATTTGTTCCCTCTTTCTTGTACATACAGCTGAGTTTCTGAGTGAGTTGTAATTCCAAACAACCAGTCTTTCTGGGTCCTGGGACTCACTCCTCTCATTCACTAGATGAGGCTGTAGGATGAGTCATGCTCGCAGAGGCACTCCGCACCCGTCTCAACAAGCCCCCGGGAAGGACTGACATCAGGATCCCAAAGAAAATAAAAGGTCAGGCCACGAACTGAAAAGTAGACAGCGGTGAAGGATGACTGGCGTATGAGCTCTCAAATGCCTTGATTATCTCCTCTGCAGTGTGAGAGAGAGGCATATTCTCACTTCTCTATTAGCCTTGAGGACAGCATCTGGCTTCATACTCCTTGACAAATCCTACTATTTTATGGGAATGACTAATTCAGAAAGGTTAACTGGAGGATGAGGAACTCAAAGAGCGAGAGGGGTGTGTGTGTGTGTGTGTGTGTGTGTGTGTCTAATTCCATAGCCATATATCCCTACTCGTGTTGTGTAATTAGAACTTTGATTATAGCATCAGATGGCTAAATGACTTGTTTATATGTTGACCTCAATAGTAGAGTCTATAGCCTGGCTTTCGCTGGTTCTCTTTCTCCATGCGTGAAGTATAGAGCCTTGGTGGAAGAAGAACTACAGAGAGCTACTAGAAATAAAACCAGACCCATCTCTTCTTGGCTTCCACCCATCTCTTTGTATCTGGATCCAAATGTGGTCAGCTCTTAGGAAGCACAAAATTTCAGAGTAGGGAAGCATCTTCATCTCACCAACTATCTCAATACTCAAATAATTATAAGAAAATATTGATGCTGGCAATTTCTCTGTTCTGTGAAGAACATATAGCCAACAATGCAACACCCAATAAAGCAAGAGCCCAACACTCCCGCAGTTTCCCTGTGAGTCCAGAGCACAGGCCTTCAAGCAACCCACAATGTCCACCCAGACCAGGGGGACACTGTAGGAAGGGGTTTCCAGCAGTCACTGTAGGTAGTGCTTTCTTTTGCATTGCCACAGAGACAATTTGTCAGGGTCATGAAAATAAGAGACAAGAGTTTTAAAGGTTTGCGTTTCATCTGAAGGGAGTTGAAATTTTTCTGGCATGGAGACAGCGCAGAAGCAGTGAGTCGAAGTGGCTGGCAAGGCACTTTGCATTCTCACTCCAAGGAATGAGCAACGCAAGCCAGACAGATGGCCCCGTGAAGAAAGACAAATATAAAACACGCTCCAACTCTGAGCTAGCCACATTCCAAAAGGCATGAAAGAGGGGACACTGCAGAATCAAGCATTCCAGAAAACACATTCCCCCAACTCTGGAACGGTGCAGGGAAAAATCAGCTGTTTACTAGGAAAGGGATGATGGCATGGGCCAAGTACTCACGCATCCAGGAAGTAGATCTGGCTGCCCAGAAACCGACAGTCACCTGGCAGGAAAGTCAGCACTGAACTGCGTACCGTGGTGCCCCACCATCACGTGGCCACACCGAAACTGTACAGCCCCCTTCAGCGATAGTGACCCATCACTATCTTTTGGATAGTTAGTCCCGGAGGCCCGAGTGAGTAGCAACTGCCGATGGGGAGAACCCAATCTGTCCACTGCAAAGCAGCCCACAGCCTCCAGGCTTGTGTGAGGCTGTGATTCACCCCACAATGGGTCTGTCAAGCATGCCTAAGAGAAATTACAGGTTTCTCTTGTCTGAAGCGAATCCATTAAAGTGAGTCACTTGTTTGTCCTTCGGTTCTTCAGCTTTATCTCAGATGGTCACGTGACAGTCTGTGTTACATCTTCCCTGGTGTGATCAGAACAAGGGTGACAACATGCAAGGCTTTGCCACTATTGTTTACGGTCTTAAAAGGCTATTATTGTACATTACCTGTACCTATGAATTTGGAGAAAGCTGACCGAGAAAGTGACCAGAAAATTATGAGCTAGTCTCTACCTTGGCGCCAGAGAGATTTATGGTTCTTTCTTTTTTAGTTTATTTATCTGTGTGTGTGTGTGTGTGTGTGTGTGTGTGTGTGTGTGTATGTGTGTGTGTGGGTGTGGTGTGTGATGAGCCAGGTCATCAGGCTTGATGGCAATTGCCTTCACACACTGAGCTGTCTTTGAGCCCTACTTACTTCTTCTTTTATTTCTAAGGAATAGGATGAGAAGTTCTTTCCCAACCTCCCCATGCCAATGTAATGCAGAGCCAGAAAGGCACCATCTCCACATGCAGAAAAGTTTCACATGACCCAGCTTCCCACCGACCAGTCAGTCTGGATTGGTGTCCTCGCCACTAGAGTCCCACATACCCTAATTCTGGTGGCGCCTGTTTAGAAGCCTCCTTTCCCCAGCTGCTGTAATGCCATGCTTAGAAGTCATGGGGGAGGGGTGATGCAAAGAGAAATAAGTGAGTTGCAGCTGCGTTACATAACTTACAGCAATGCAGGTCAAGGCTGCGACATTTGCAGAAATGGGTCAGTTCCATGTGGGTCACTCCTTAAGTACTGGGTCATTTGTGTTGTGGAAAAAAACAACACGCTCTCAAGTGGTTGTGTAATCGAAGGACTTTATTGAACTTAACATATTTACTGATCATGCTCTATGTAGAAGACACTGGGTTGCCCTATCGGTGTGCAGAAGAAAAAAGTTACAAAGTGCTTATCAAAAATAAAGTCAGCCTGTTCCTAAAGAGTCACAACCTTATCTGGGAAAGAAAACATAGAGAAAAAGACCAAGCCGAACAAACCATACAGTCCAGTATTAGTGGAAGTGAACAGCACAGAAAGTGTGTGGGGGCGGGAGACCAGTCAGGGAAGGAGGAGGCAGAAAGGAAGGCAGGCTTGGAAAAAACACAGGATGAATGGAGCCCCATGGTAGCCCCATGGCAGCCCCATGGCAGCCCTATGGTAGCCCCCATTGAACTATGCATTATGATCTGGGGACACTAAGGCTCATTCCATAAGCCTCAGTGGGTTTTACTGGCTCATAACCCTACTGTTACACAGACAAAATCAAATGCTTCATTGTTTTATTTAGAAGTCACTTAGCTTGTTCCCATGAGGATATCTTCATTCAAACTCATGCCAGAGGCCATGGCTGTGTGTTTACTTGTGCATGGGCATATATGTTCATGTATTCACAGGCATGCTAATAAAAGAAGTTAGCAATTATTATTCCCCCAGTACTATTATAAATGCTTCACTATTTTGAATCAATACAGTAATCTGAGGAGGGAGACTCACTTGTCTAATACTTACAAATGAGGAAACCAAATTCTAAAGAATGTTAAGTGATTTCCCAAGGAGGGCCAAGTAACGTGTTCTTTCAAGTGACAACGGTTCTTCAGAACAGTATCTCCTTGAGCTGGATGACCATAGGACGTGAGCAGAATATTAAAAATGTCTCCACTGAGGCTCACACAAATCAACCTAGTCTGTGTAGTCCCTTGACATCTTTCAAGATGCCAAAGTGTACATTTTGAGCTACAGGAGAGAAGGTTAGAGTTCTTCTTCTTCAAGAAAATGCCCAGGAATGCCAGAGTGGTTCTTTTAGCATCCATGGGCCTTTCTTGGTTAGTGATATCACCATCCTGTCACAGAATGAGTGCACCCGACTTGAGTACTTTCAAGCCAGACACACCTGCATGAGTTGCTCCCTCTCTCCCTGTGCTCGGGGTTCTCGTGGAAAAATACTTATTCTTTTCCAAGCTCTGTGCACATTGGCATTCTTGCACCCATTAGCCACATGAGACTCCATCTTGAGTTCATTATATTGACCTTAAGCAAGTGACAGTTCATGATGCTACAGTATCTGCACTGCAGAAGGAAAGTCGGCACTGTATCTACCCCATCTTATGCATTTAAAGGGATATGAGGATCTGGACTGTAACTAACTAGACCATCTCTGTTACATGAAAAGGATGCTATAGCCCGTCATCAGCACCCCACTGGAAAGATTACTTTTTCCTAGTTGGTTCATGCTTTCCCATCAAATGAAGATATTTCTTTTTATTTCTGTTAACCATGTGTGGATAGGCTGGGGAGATGCCTAACTGGTAAGAGTCCTTATTGTACAAGCATAAGGACTTGACTTCAAATTCCCGAGATATAGAGCGAGCCATACCCACCTATAATCCGTGGGTGGCAGACAAGGGAGGCTCACTGGGGCTTGCTGGCTTGAGTGTAGCTTAGGTCAGTGAGAGACCATTTCTCAAAGAAGTAAGGCAAAGAGTGGTAGAGCAGGACCCCAGGCATCCCCTCCTGAGCATCTGGAGCACGCCACACACATGTGTGCAGACACACACCCACACATAAACAGCGCACACATTCTCGCACACACAAAGGAGAGAGAGCTACTCACCCACAGAGTGAGCCTGACTTTTCCATTTGTGTTTTGGTTGGGGTTTTAGTTGGGGATTTTGCTGTTGTTTTTGTGATTTTGCTTGTTGCTTGGTTTTTATTTGTGTGTGACGGGTGTGTGATGGGGTATTACTCTTTAGCTTTGGCCCATCTAGAACTCACCACGTAAACCAAAGTGGCCTTGAACTCACAGCAGCTCCGTGTCTGCCTCCCAAAAGCTGGGATTCCAGTGGAGCCCACCCTTCTCAGTTTCCCATCTGTAACAGAACACCAACAATACTGGCCTCTAGATAGGATGGCTTGGGCACCTGTCCATGTCCCTCCGCCTTTATCCCCTGCTTTACTTCAGGGGCAGCTGCCTGTAGGTTTGCTTCAGCATTGCTCTCTGTCAGGTGACAGCTGATTTGAATGTTGAATGTGTTTATGAAAAGCAAGGAAAAGGAGTAGCACGAGGCTTGGAATATGATATTTCCTCTCCCCCGCTCAGGGTTCAGCAGCCTCTTGTGTCCAAAGGTGGAATCAGAGCCTCTCAGAGACCCCACGCTCTGGAAGACAACATGAGTTCTGGAAGCTAACAGAGTTGACCCAGGCTAGCAGAGCCATGACTCACAGTTCTAGGCTTCCAGCTCCTCTTAAAACAGGCATCCTGTCTGATTCAAAGCCCTATGGTTTTCACTTGGCTTGCTGTCAAAGAAGTCACATCCAAGTCCAAGCCAGGCTTGACCATCTAATCACTTTGACTTTGAGAAAGGAGAATATACTGGCAGAAGGCTCCCTTCTATACAGAGAGGCCGCTGTGAGGTACTTAAGAGTCTGTCCAACCACTGGAGACTATTCTTCAGAGCCCTCCTTTAGAATCCAGCACGTTGCATCATAGGCCACCTTTGCTGAGATAAGCCGGGCTCCCTCCCCGATGGTAAGTATGACCCAGCAGTATGGAGATGGAGGGACCACTGACATGCTGTTGTTGTAACCCACTTTGTGTCCTTGTCCCTTGTGGATGCTTTAGCATGTCATATATAGATTTGTAGTTGGTGGGGAAGACATGTTTAGAAGCACAGAACAGCTTTGACAGAGGGGCCTTCGTGCTTTCCACACATCACCCCCTCCTCCATCAGCTCTGCAGTGTGGGAGGCTTCCTTCAATGTGCCCAGCGACAAGAAGACGGGAATTAAGTGCATGCTTCCTCAGGCACTGCCATTCCAGGAATGAGCAACCTTGTCAAGAACAGAAAACCCCAGTTTAAATATACAGACGCTTCACACTTGCACACCAAGAGCCCAGTCTCTTCCTCGAAGTTTCTTTAGAACCCAGGAACTTGTCTTGTTCTGTTCCCAGAGGGTGCAGAGCTGTAAGCCTTGCCTTCCTCTAACATGAACCACTTCACTTCGGGAACGAGTTCAGGCAAGATCTCAGGTAGCACAAGTTAGCCTCAAACCTGTTATGTACTTGAGAATGACATCACAGTAATCCTCCTGCCTCCACCCCTGCAAGATGTCCTAGGAGTGGAAAACGAGAAGGGACGGGGCAGAGGGAGCCAGGAAGAGAGGCGATCCCTGCTCAGCCCCCTTAAGTATTCCCAGGCCAGGTCATAAGCCTTTTCAGAAATACCCTATTGTTTTATGGAACAAAAATTTCAGTAACCCAAGAATATGCCTTACCAAGACAAGAGTCAAGAGGACTTATTTCTAATTATAACCAAAGGAATGCCATAAACACAAAGCATACTTAGAGACTGCCCTGCTGCATGCTCACCTCCCATGCTAGGGATGCACCCTGGTTTGTTAGCTTGGCCCTTTGGTAGGATGGCAAGAGAATTCAGAAGAAAGGTCCTGTTGAAGACAAAATATCACTGCATTTATCATTACCAGTCAGTCTGCAGTTGTCACAGTGATTCTAGGTGCACAGAGAACCCAAGGCATGGGAAAATAGTCTTACCACTTCACACCACCGTCTCCTTCCCTGTTTATACTAAAACTAACAACATAGTGACAGGCTTGTCTAAGGGGTCTTTGCCACCATAACCTGGCACTAAGAAAATTCCACAGGAGGAGGAGGAAGAGTGGAAGAGCATGAGAAAGAAAAGCTGGAAGAGGAGAGAAGAAAAAAGAGAAGAGAGAGGGGATGGGGGAATAGAGGAGAAGAGAAAAGAGAAGGGAGGGGAGGGGAGAGGGGAGGGGAGGGAGACGGGATAGAGTCGTGAGGAGAAAGGAACCTTGGCTTAAGAACTGTTCTACTGAAGCCCTCAACAGTAAAGTACCCCCTACACCTTTGTGATGCTCCTGTGCCAAAGGATCTTTTGGGTATGTTTTAGTCGTGTGTTGTCTAAAGAGGCAAGACATTGACACGGCGGCAGATCTGCAGCTACATGAGCATA